AGTATCGCAATATATCGGGATGTATCGTATCGTGACCCCTCTGTCATGATATGTATCGTATCGCCAAATTCTTGCCAATACACAGCCCTAATATGTATGTTGAGTCCTGCATGTTTTTTGTTTTGTTCTCTAAAGACAGGACTTATTGATCCGCATTGTTCTCCTCCAGGTCAGCTGATGGGTATGAATGAGATCACGGAGAAGCTAACTCTGGACGTCAAGTGTCGGAATGAACACGCCATCGTCCAGAGAGTGACCACCGCCGCCAACCTCAGCAGAGTTCCCTGTGGGTCGGACAAAGAGTGCAGGTAAGAAAGCTAAAGAAAGACACAGCAGCAGTTTTATCAAACAAGTCGAGCTTCTCCTAACTCTAGTTTTGACCTGTTTTTGGAAAGAAGAGGTGGCAACTTTTTACAATACATCAAAATACAAACAACTTTAATAATAATTAAATTATTTTTTTTCTTCACTCTGGACCATTTTCATTCATAACATGATTAACTTTTTTATTTTTATGTTATATTTTACTGTTTTGTTTTAAGAATAAAATAAAAAAACGAGTTGTTTTTTCATTAACAAATATATTTATTAATCCAGAACACTATGAGTGTTGCAGTGCAATATGTGAACAAGAGTTTTTCGTATATGTAGACATGTAGAGACTTGTAGAGATTTATTTGGTCGAAGTTTGTAACTTTGTCTTTAGGTTACACTAAATCCCACAAATGTTTTAACTTAAATCAGTTGTACTCTGTGTGTTTTACTTTGAAAGTATTAACACAGATAAACAGAAAGTCAAACTCCTTGGCATGAGCCAGGAAGATTAGCATGCTTGTTTCTTTATTTTTCTTTGCACACAGCAAATTGTACAAAATGATAGCAATAAATCATGGCGAACAACAAAAAGACACACAAATACTTAACTGGAGAGCAGAGAGCATTATATCTGTTACCTTCAGTTATGAAAAAGCTGTATTTCAAAAATAAATTTGACTTTGCATCACAGTCTATGTAAAATACCTTGAAATTGGCCTCTGTCTCTTTAAGAAGCTCCTATTGTTTCTGACATTCCCACTTCATGCACTCAAACATGCATGAATGAGTCGAAGCAAACCTCTGGGTATGTTTTTGATGAGGAAATGACATTGATAAAAAAATTTTAAAAAGTTGACTTTGCATAACCCCTCCTCCACACCGGGCCCCCACCACCAACTTGTGAAATAATTGATGCCAAACTTTTTTCTGAGTACCACCAAAAGCACTTGAACCACACTTTAGCTGTTTGTTTTGTCAAGTTTCGACAGGACTCACTTATATACAGTCTCAGTAGTTTGCCTCATAAAACCACTCACCTTTCTCAGCCAAAAATACATAAATGGGTAGAATAGATTGGGATGGATGGATGGATGGATGGATGGATGGATGGATGGATGGATGGATGGATGGATGGATGGATGAATGGATGGATGTATGATAGATGGATGGATAGATGGATGGATGGTTGGATGGATGGATGGATGGATGGATGGATGGATGGACGGATGGATGGATGGATGGACGGATGGATGGTTGGATGGATGGATGGATGGATGGTTGGATGGATGGATGGATGGATGGATGGATGGATGGACGGATGGATGGATGGATGATGGATGGATAGATGGATGAATGAATAAATGGGTAGATTGGATTGAGAAGGATGGATGGATGGATGGATGGATGATAGATGGATGGATGGATAATTGGGTAGATTGGATTGGGATGGATGGATGGATGGATGGATGATGGATGGATGGATAGATGGATGGATAAGTGGGTAGATTGGATTGGGATGGATGGATGGATGGATGGATGATGGATGGATGGATAGATGGATGGATAAGTGGGTAGATTGGATTGGGATGGATGGATGGATGGATGGATGGATGGATAGATGGATGAATAAATGGGTAGATTGGATTGGGATGGATGGATGGATGGATGGATGGATGGATAGATGGATGAATAAATGGGTAGATTGGATTGGGATGGATGGATGGATAGATGGATAGATGGATGGATGATAGATGGATGGATAGATGAATGGATAAATGGGTAGATTGGATTGGGATGGATGGATGGATGGATGGATGGATGGATAAATGGTAGATTGGATTGGGATGGATGGATGGATGGATGGATGGATGGATGGATGGATAAATGGTAGATTGGATTGGGATGGAT